TTTCAGACACAGCAAGCCTACCCAGAATGGAGGGAAAGCACACATATGAGATGCCTGATTGCTCATCTTTGACTTGCCGAGGCATCCATGAGATCTTGGAGCCTGGGACAAAGTAAGGCTTTCCCAAGGGAGCCTGCAACTATGCGTTTAGACAGTGTTTGGTTTGTTTGTTTTGTTTTTATGAAGAAAAGCATTCATTAAAATGTCAGAGTTGTTCTCAAGTTTGTAGTTTACTTCATGATAATATCTTGGAGGAAGAAAGGACAACATTGCCTTACAGATGTTCTGGCTCCATGATTTACAAAATACCAGTTTATGAGGAGAATTCACACAAAGCGTAATCAACTGCACATGGCTTCCACCAATGAGAGCATGTCTAGAAAATAAGCATCAAATCTCAGGAACACGGGGCTCTTTATCCTCCAAGAACCATCCGAAGGATCTAAATGAGAACAGAGCTGGAGCAGAGAACAAAGCTTTAATCTGAAGATGGCAAACACCTCCCACCTTGTGGGCCAACTGTGATTGATTGGTACTTATTACAGGGAAAGAGTGTTGAGAAGGAGGCTGTGCCGCACCGAATTCCATGATTAATTAGTGCTGCCTGCTGAGGGTGAGGAGTAGGAAGCATATGTACTGTGCATTCACCTTCCATAAACTTAAAGCAATTTAGCTTCAGCAGAAGAATATCTCTCTCCCTATATTATAGGACCATGTCTGATTTGGTGATCTCTGTCAAAGCCGTGTTTAGCACATGGCCTCATGTCAAGTAGCAACTCAATAGATAATTGCTCAATATAGATATGTGGGTTGTTTGTGCACCAATGAATATGTAAGGGAAGTGGGGGAAAGAAGGCAAGTCTTCAGACCTCTTAAGTTGAGTTGGAAGAGTAGTTTGAGGCCACAAATTCCTCCAATTTAGCTTGAAGTCCAACTCAGTAGGTAGCAGCCTCCCTTGCCTTCACCTAAAGCCACTTAACTCCAGATGGATTAAAGACTTAAACATAAGACCTAACACCATAAAAACCCTAGAATAAAATCTGGGCAAAACCATTCAGGACTTAGGCGTAGGCAAGGACTTCATGACCAAAACACCAAAAGCATTGGCAACAAAAGCCAAAACAGACAAATGGGACCTAATCAAACTCCACAGCTTCTGCACAGCAAAAGAAACAGTCATTAGAGTGAATCAGCAACCAACAGAATGGGAAAAAATTTTTGCAGTCTACCCTTCTGACAAAGGGCTGATATCCAGAATGTACAAAGAACTAAAACAGATTTACAAGAAAAAAACAAGCCCATTCAAAAGTGGGTGAAGGATATGAACAGACACTTTATAAAAGAAGACATACATGAGGACAACAAACATATGAAAAAATGCTCATCATCACTGGTCATCAGAGAAATGCAAATCAAAACGACATTGAGATACCATCTCATGCCAGTTAGAATGGTGATCATTAAAAAAATCTAGAGACGACAGATGCTGGAGAGGATGTGGAGAAATAGGAACACTTTTACACTGTTGGTGGGAGTGTAAAGTAGTTCAACCATTGTGGAAGACAGTGTGGCGATTCCTCAAGGACCTAGAAATAGAAATTCCATTTGACCCAGCAATCCCATTACTGGGTATATATCCAAAGGATTATAAATCATTCTACTATAAGGACACATGCACATGAATGTTCATTGCAGCACTGTTTACAATAGCAAGTACCTGGAACCAACCCAAATGCCCATCAATGATAGACTGGACAGGGAAAATGTGGCATATATACACCATGGAATATTATGCAGCCATCAAAAATGGATGAGTTCATGTCCTTTGTAGGGACATGGGTGAACCTGGAAACCATCACTCTCAGCAAACTGACACAAGAGCAAAAAATCAAACACCGCATGTTCTCACTCATAGGCGGGTGTTGAACAATGAGAACACATGGACACAGGGAGGGGAGCACTACACACTGTGGTATGTTGGGGGGAAATAGGGGAGGGACAGCAGGGGGTGGGGAGTTGGGGAGAGATAGCATGGGGAGAAATGCCAGATATAGGTGAAGGGGAGGAAAGCAGCCAATCACACTGCCATGTGTGTACCTATGCAACAGTCTTGCATGTTCTTTACATGTACCCCAAAACCTAAAATGCAAAAAAAAAAAAAAAAAAAAGAAAACAAACAAACAAAAAGTTGCTGCTGTCACCAGTACCACTCTTGAGGAACACCGTGAGCTGTTAGAAGCCAAAGACTCAGCAAGATCCAAGCTTGGGAATAAATTTTATGATACTTTTGAGTGTTGAAAACTGTAGCTACACATGGGACACTACACAGAAAGAGTCACCACATAAAAGGCTTCTGTAAGTGATCTGTGTCCATTTCAGGATCTTACTTATCAACAGAACTGACTGGTCTCCTTGGGGATGCGTTAAACCTGAATAGGATCAGGTCACTCATCCCTCATTAGGTGCCCTGCAGGGCTGAAGGTCACACAAGCAGCTTCTTTCCACGATCTGCTCAGGAGCCACACAGAAGGGACACATGTCTAAACAACACGGAGATGGGATTCCCCAGGAGTGTTGGGGAACACAGCAGAACTCAAGGACTTGTAGCAAAAGAGAAATCCTTCTCTCTGAGCCCTTTGAATGGAATCCAAGCAGTGGTTTCCAGTGTGGTGCACAGATGATTCTTAGAATTTTGTTTTACATTACTTAAAATAATATCATGTTTTTAAAATGTTTTGCATGTTTTAATATGCATGGCATATTACCATAGTGGTAAAACAAGGAAGTGAGGAGCCCCACCCCCACCAGGCAGTATAATGTCAACAGAGGCCTTAGTGGGGGTTGTGAAGTTCCACCCTCCAGTTGTAATGAGGTTCCCCTTCCCTCTCAAATGAAGGCAGAGTGGGAAACTCAGACTTTCACCACTACCTGGCAGTAACGAGGTGGGTACCATCAGGATGGTGTGGTGCCTGCTAAAACAGGCATGGTTTAAATAAGAACCATGGTTAAAACAGGCAAGATTTAACTAAGAATCAGAGTCTCATGATACAATTGTAGATACAATTGAAAAGCACCCATCATATCAGGAACTAGGAACATCCTGACTTGAATGAGAAAAGAAAATTGACAGATGCAAACACCTGGGTGACATATATGTAGAAATTGTCCTACAAGGATTGAAAGCAGCCACTATGAAAATGCTTCAGTGGACAATCATGAACATTTTTGAAACAAATGAAAAAATAGAAAGTCTCAGAAAAACAAAAAGGGAGATGTCCTAGGGGAAAGAAAATAGAAGTTATAAAGAAGAACCAAATGGAACATTCAGAAGTAAATTTCCACTTTTACACAAAATCTGAAATTAAAAGAAAACCTCAGTGGATGAGCTCAACAGCAGAATGGAGGGAACAGAGGAAAGAATCAGTGAAGTGAAAGATGGAACAATAAAAATTAGTTAATTGGAAAACAGTAAAAATAGAGCAAAGAAAAATGAATGCAGTCTCAGAGACTTGTGGGATTACAAAGAAGAGTATGTTAAAGTCAGCAGGACTAGAGAAAAAGATTGGAACTGAAAAAATATTTGAAAATTTCTCAAATTTTGCAAAATACATAAACCTCAGATTCTAGAAATGAGCAAACCCCAAGAAATAGAATCCCGAGAAAATGCATGCCAAGATACATCATAGCCAAACTTGTGAAAATGGAGTCAAAGAAGCCTTCTTGAACACAGCCAGAGAGAAATCATTTCTTACCTGCAGGGGAAAAACAATTTGGCTGACAGCGTTATTTCTTATTGGGAACCATAGCGGCCAAAAAGAAATGCACAATATTTTTCAAATGGTTAAAGAAGAGATCTGTCAATCCAGAAACTTTTGTCCAGTGCGAATATCCTTCTGTAGTGAAGGAGAAATGAAAACATTGTACCAGACTTTGTCACTAGCACACCTACCCTGTAAGAATGGTTGAGAGAAATTTCCCTAACAGAGAAGAAATGACAAAAGAAGGAATCATGGAACTTCAGCTAGGAAGAAAGAAAAATGGGAAGAGTAGACATGTGATAAACACAATGCAGTTTCTTTTTCCTGTCGAATTTTTTTCTTTTCTTTTTTCTTTTTTTTTTTTTTGAGACTGAGTCTGGCTCTTGTCACCCAGGCTGCCGTGGTGTGATCTTGGCTCACTGCAACCTCCATCTCCTGGGTTCAGGTGATTCTCACGCCTTAGCCTCCTGAGTAGCTGGGATTACAGGCACCCACCACCACACCTGGCTAATTTTTGTATTTTTAGTAGAAATAGAATTTCACCATGTTGGCCAGGCTGATCTTGAACTCCTGACCTTAAGTGATCTGCCCACTTCAACCTCCCAAAGTGCTGGGATTACAGGTTTGACATTCACCATGCCTGGCAGTTGAAACAAAAATTATAATACTGCCTATTGTGCTTTTCAATGTATACAGAAGTAATAGGTAATATTTATGTGGGGGAGGGTAAAGGGACTTAATGGGAGGTATGGTTTTCACATGTCACTTGAACTGGTAAATACAATACTAGCAGACTGTGATAAATTATGTATGTGCAGTTGTTCCCCAGTATCTGTGGGGGCTTCATTTCAGGACCTGCTATCGATACCAGAATTCTTGATGCACAAGTCCCTGCTATGCAGTGATGTGGTACTGGTTGGCCGGGCGCGGTGGCTCACGCCTATACCTAGCACTTTGGGAGGCCGAGATGGGTGGATCACGAGGTCAAGAGATCGAGACCATCCTGGTCAACATGGTGAAACCCCGTCTCTGCTAAAAATACAAAAATTAGCTGCGCATGGTGGCGCACACCTGTAGTCCCACCTACTCGGGAGGCTGAGGCAGGAGAATTGCTTGAATCCAGGAGACGGAGGTTGTGGTGAGCTGAAATCACGCCACTGCACTCCAGCCTGGGTAACAAGAGCAAAACTCCGTCTCAAAATAATAATAATAATAATAATAATAATAATAATGTGATATTGGCATATAAACTATGCACATCCTCTGCTATATTTTTAAATCGCCTCTAAATTACTTATAATACCTAATACAATGTAAATGCTATGTAAATAGTTGCTACACTGTATTATTTAGGGAATCATGATAAGAAAGACAGTCTGTACATGTTCACTACAGGCACAGTATTTGTTTCCAAATATTTTTTATCCAATTTGGTTGAATCCGCAGATTCATATCGATGGATATGCAAGGCCTACTGTATAATGCAATACTGAGAGTAACCACTAAAAAGCATATACAAAAAGACCACTGAAAAACACTACGGATAAATCAAAGTGGATTTTAAAATGTTGAGGTAACCCAGATGAAGGAAGAAGAAAGAAAATAGAAAAATAAAAACTATTAACTTTTTTCACAAACAGAACAAACAACAAACAAAAAAAGGCAGTAATTTTTTATTGTTACTTTATTTATTTATTTTTAACTAACGTAATAATTTTGTATACATGGGGTACATAGTGATGTTTTAATACATATACTGTAAAGTGATCAGATCAGAGTAATTATCATATCCATCATCTCAAACATTTATTATTTGTTTAATTTAAATGGCCTCAATGCACCAATTAAAATACAGAGATTGACAGTGGGTAGAAAACATAATACAACTACATGCTGTAGGTGAGAACTTATTTCCAATTGAGTAGTTTAAGTAGATTGAAAGTAAAAGGATGGAAAGTGATCTATCATCAATCGAAAGAAAGTGGAGCAGGAGTGGCTATATTAACATCAGATAAAACAGAGTTCAAAACAAAGAAAATTACCAGGGACAGAGAGAAATCTTACACAATAATAAAAGGGCCAATTCACCCAGAAGATAAGAGAATCCTAAATGTGTATGTACCTCTCAACAGAGCTGCAGAAGATACAAAACAAAGACTGATAGAGCTGGGCAGGAAAATAGAGAAACCCACAATTATACTGGGAGACTTCAAAATCCCTCTCTTTAACATTGATAGAACAATTAAAAAGTCAGCAAGATTATGGAAGACTCACCAATCAACAGGGTCCAAATGGCTTTTATAGAACACTACACCCAACAACAGCAGAGTCCACATTCTTTTAAAGTACCCAAGGAACATTTACCAAGAGAGACCATAACTTGGGCCATAAAAAAAGAAAACCAACATGTTTATATGAACTAAACTCATACAGACAGCATCCTCTGACTTGATGAAATCAAACTAGAAATCAATGCAGAAAGATAACGTGAAAATCTCCAAACCCGTAGGAATTAACAACAGTTTTAAGTAGTTAAGGGTCAAAGAGAAGTCTCAAAGGAAAAAAAAATGAATGAAAATAAGTAAAAGGGCAGGCAAATTTCATGTATAATTACAGTATAAAACATAGACAAAAGACCATGGACACTATCCTTAAATGTAAAGTATTTGCTTCCCAGAAAAAAACAAAACAAAAAATGATGGAGAAAATGCTGTGTGTCAGATTCCAGTTCATGTTCTTCTTTCCTGGGCACACAGAATACTATAAGCTCCTTTTCAAAAGTTGTCAGTTAAAAATGATTTTTCAAATTAATATCATCCAAGAAGCTTCATTAAAGAGTGTAGGGAGACCACAAGGGATATTACAAAAGATCAGAGCTGTTCCTAATCCGAGGCTTGAAGGGGCAAATCAAAGACTTGATTAAAGGCTGTGGGGTGGGAATGTGTAGAGACAACCACCTGGAGAGGAGCTGTGACCTTCAGTCAGCTTTGGCAGGGTGACCCTATAGGGAGGAGCCTGGAGAAATCCACCTTTCTCTCCTTCCTCCTTCCATGATCCCAGTGGCCAAACTCAATGGAACCCAGAAAGTTTGGCATGGCAAGGTGTCGCTTTGTTCTGTAATCCATACAGATCAGCCTAGCAGAACAGAAAACAAGATGGGGAAAGGTTGATCAGAAATTAGGCAGTGGGGAAGGGGGATGTGGAAGTAAATGGGAAGCTATTTGAGTAGCAAAGAGACCCAGCAACTGGGTGACAATCTCAGAAACATGTTTAAAATGGCAACATCACTAGACGGGCTACTTGGTGAAGAGTTGCCAAAAGAGGCTGACCAAGCGCCCATTGACCATGATGTGAGTGAGAAAAAAACCTTCATTATAAGGCAGCCTCTGAGAATTGGAGTTGTTTGTTAAAGCAGCTAGTGTTAATTACCCTTACTAATACACTCAATAAAGTCAGGGTCTCAAATTCTATTAATATGTGGAGTGGAATATTAAATGCACAGTCCAATACTCAGGTGTAATTAAAAAGTGATTCCAATATTTACTTGTGTCTTTTGAAAAATGCCAATGGGGATATAATTCATAATTTTAGTGACTGCTCTCAAAACCTGTTTTGTCACAAATACAGTCCTCTTTTTCCCAGATACTGGCATCCATCAAGCTTCGAAAACTCCCCTCAACTTTCATTCTGTACAGGACTTTTTCTTTATCATCCCCTCCTTCCTTTCAGCCCTTTATAAGTGGGTTGTTGAGTCTCTCTCTTTGTTTTCCCCATCTTCCCTTTCTTCTTTCTTTTATCACAGAAGATCCCCGAATCTGGCTGCCTAATACAGAGAATTGTGTAGGGCTTATCTATAATTAAGAGATGAAAATGGGAGGGACCCAGGGATAGGGTTAAAACACAGGCCATGTGCCTGTTGCAGGCTGTCCTCCTTGGGAAGCAGTCTGAGACAGAGGTGACACGCAGCATGCTGATTGGCAAGGATGTTTTGGATGGACACCCATGGAAGGGAAAGGGAGAAAGAAGGATGGGCAGAGGGCAAGCCCAGCTGTGATGCAGGAGCTCTGGAGCTCGTATGTCCCAACAGCCTTGTCTTTCTTCAGGACAAAATGGCTCGGCCTTTATCCCTCTGCCTCCATCTATTGTTGATGCGGGTTGCCCAGGGAAGCAGATGACCTCGAGTGAGGAGAATCCAGAAAGGGCTGACAGCTGAGGACTACAGGCTGACAGCTTTCATCGCAGCTCGGACAACAAATCCTGCCTTAGCCCATCACCATGGAGAGGGACTGTGAGTGTGCTCGGGTGGGCTGCAGCTCGGGTTCCGAGCTGGCTGCAGTTTATGTGGTCGTCGCTGCTGTACAGAGATTGCTGTTGTTTCATCCACATTTTTCATACCTTCTGTGCAATGCTTTGAGGCCCTTATACTGTGCCACATTTACCTCTCCCTTGAAGAACCCCATTGATATTTTTTCTTTCAAGAGGCCTCACTCTCTGACCCTCAGCCTTTCCTAACCTACTACTTCAATGCTGCTGGGTCCTTTCCTTGGGAACTCCAGTCCCTGAAGGTTCTCTCTAGGCTCTGTGGGCTGCAGGGTTATAGAGAAGTGTGCTTCTGGCCTTGCTGTAATGCATCGATTTCTTATTTTTATTAAAGGACAGGGTAATGACTATAGTCACTGCAAGGACTTATTTATGGCTCTGCCCCTCCTGATTGTTAGCCTTAGGAGGCACTCTGGGGCTGTGGATAACTCACTGGCCTCCTGATTGCTTGTAATTAGGGACTGGGCAGGAATAGCTTTTTAATTTCTCTTTTCCCAATGAGACTGATTTTTCAATTCTTGCAGTGACCCAGACCAGCCTTGTATAAACTTTGGAGTCAAACCCTGATGAGCCCAGAGAACAGGGGAATAAAGGCGGTGGAGCCCTGAAGCCTGCCTCTGCTTGGGTTTGAAGCACAGCTCAGCTGTCACTACGTACAGGGGCTGGGGGAAATTTCTTAATCCAGATTCATGTCAGTTTCCTCATTTGTTAAACATGGATAATAATGCCTCCCAGTTACAGTTGTTGTGGGGAAAAATTCTCTTACCCTGTGCTTAGCTCTGTGCCTGACAATTAATAGGTACCCAAGCAGTGTTGATTGTGTCATTGTCGTTATTGCTATTTCCACTTTTTTTCCCTTCAACTTTTAAGTTCAGAGGTACATGTGCAGAATATTTCTACTTTTCCTATGACAAAAGTGAAGCTCGGACTGCTATTAGTGATTCTGACTGCCTTTTAGCAGCTTCTGAGAATGTATTTCATCATCAACTTTCTTTTAGTACTGTTTCTCCCAACCTGCCTCTAGTTGTGATGCCCTGCTAAGACCCTACAACCATTCTAATGCCAGCGCCAATTTTAGTGCCCTCCAGGGAGCTCCTTTTGAGCCCTTGTTCAGTTTTGTTCTCACTAATTGGGGTCGATTCTCATTCGCTGTGGCCCTCATGGTAACAGAGCTCTCTGAATCTACCAAAGAACTCATCTCCGAGGGGAATAACCTAGGCTAAGGCAAGAAGTGTGAAACTGCTCAAGGGAGTAGTTTCTAGAAAGTTGTCAATATTTAATGACCATCTCTACATCTTTAGCCTTACTTCTTGTGATGGTTAATGCTGTCAGCTTGATTGGATTGAAGAACGCAAAGTATTGATCCTGGGTGTGTCTGTGAGGGTATTGCCAAAGGAGATTAATATTTGGGTCAGTGGACTAGGAAAGGCAGATCCATCCTTAATCTGGCTTGGCACTGTCTAATCAGCAGCCAGCACGGCCAGAATAAAAAGCAGGCAGAAGAGTGTGAAGAGACTAGACTGGCTTAGCCTCCCAGACTGCATCTTTCTCCCGTGCTCATGCTTCCTGACCTTGAACATTGGACTCCAAGTTCTTCAGCTTTGGGACTTGGTTTGGCTTTCTTGCTCCTGAGCTTGCACACATAGCCTATTGTGGGACCTTGTGATCATGTGAGTTAATACTCCTTAATAAACGCATATATATTTATATATGTATATATCTCCTATTAGTTCTGTTCCTCTAGAGAACTCTAATACGCTTCTCATCACCTAGTTCCTTGAATAATAAGCTCCAACCATTTATTTGCATTTTCTTGCATATTCCGTGCTTAAAACCTCTGAGCATACACGTAGGCTGTTTCTTCTGCCTGAAAATCTCCTCAGTCCCCTGTCTTCACTTGGCTGACTCCTGCATTCTACCAGAGTTCAGGTTTTCCTTGTTTAATACCCTCCTCCAAGATTGCAAAGTCTTCAGATTTTTATGGGAAATAGTCATATTTCATCATGTTCCATTCAAGTAGTTTTTTTCTTGGTCATGTTGCTCTTTTGGCATTTCCTTTAACTGTCAACATTACAACTTAGATAGGGATTATCCAGAACTTATGATGAAAAAAGGGAGTACTATTTACTTACAGCTGAAGGTTTGATCATAGAGACTTTGGGCTTCATGGTTTTATGTATCAACTCTATGTGTGGAGATCATGAATTCCATTTATTCATCCATTCATTCATTTATCCATTCATCCATGCATCCACCCACCCATCTCACCACCCAGCCACCCATCCATCTACCCATTTATCCATTCATACATCCATCCATCCACTTGTCCATCCATATACTCACCCATCCGTCCACGCATTTATCCATCCATTTATCCATTCATCCACCCACCCATCTATCCATTCATCCCTCCATCTATTCATCCGACAAAAAAATTTTAATCGAATAATACAAACCTAAATCAGGACAAAGGTGAATCCCTGCCTTCAACAGCTCACAGCCTAGCATAGGAGATAAAATATATGTACAAAACAATAGTCTATAGCAAAATGCAGTCAGTCTGATATAATCAAGATTCCACAGAAAAACAAAACAGCTTTTCTGATGGTGAGGGCGAGGAAAGGAATTCTTGGCAGAGAATGTTGTACTTTAGTTTGACCTGTAAAGAAGGGTTGAATTTTAACCAGTAGCAGTGGAGACAGGTCCTTCCAGGCCAAGGAAGGAGCAAGAACAATGACAATGGCAGCAGAAGTGATTGTGAGGTGTAATGTCGGGACATTTCATGCATCTATGTGTAGCTTGAAATAGTGAGAAGTGAGGCTGCATAGCTGGCTATCACAACAAAGGCCAAAGCTAGATGAAAAGTATGAACTACTTTTGGTAGAAGATCTGAAACTATTGAGAAGTTCTGAGTGTCTGAGTGACATTAGGAGAGCTGTGCTTTTGGAATATTTATTTGGTAATGTTGTACAGATTTTTTTTTTCCAGGTAGAGACCAAAAGTAGTTTAAAGATTCTGGATAGTAACGTGAGATGTCCGGCTGGCCCAGCCCTTTGGAAATGAGATTGCACATAGGAAGAGAGTGAGGGTGTTTAAGAAGCTGGTTGTGTACAACTTGGATGGTCAGGTAGAGAGAGGTTTTGAATCCAAGCAAATGGTGAAGCCTTGACTGAACAGAAAAGTTATGGAGGAAGACAAGAAGTTTTACTTTACCAAAGAAATTAAAAGCAAGAACACCTGGAAGGAGGAGTGGACAGCAGTGGGAATGCAGAGCTGAAACATACCAGTTCATCGCGGTTGGTGCCAGAGTTTGGATTAATTGCCTTAGGAGCTTGTAGGGAAGAATAGCAGAAAGATGGAAAGCTGGTGGTTCTGTTCTTTAGTGTATAGACTTCTTTTGTCTTGTGAAGGGCCCATTAGCTAACAGCTTTCCTGACCTTAAGACAAAGTGAAACCAATTGCCTTGATTGACTGAGGCACCCAAAAACATTTAGAGAGGACTAGCTCCTTCCACCCGCAAGGCTGGAATGTGGACACAGGGTATTTACTTTACTAATCATGGTTACTTCATTCCGTCACCCAGTTACGGTGTCCAGAAGACAGCATTCCTCCTGCCCTTGCTCCCCTCAGATAGACAGTGAAGGACTAGGGTGTTGCTTCAAAGCACATTGCTTTCTGGAGTCCCAGAAGGAAACAAACACCCCAGAGCCGTGTGACAACCTAGAAGGCAGGAACGTTAGACGAGGTGAGACCAAATCCTGAGGCACATGGAAGCCGTAGATCACTCCATCTTCTCAGGAGACTGGCTGAGACCATTGTCCCAGAGTCCTTGGGAGTTTACGGTTTTGTATTAAATCTAAGCATTTCCTTTTGATGAAGTATTTTATGATGGGCATTGTAAATTACTCTAAGGAAACTTTTTAGT